ATCATGTTGCGAAATATCAACTAGCCAAAGCTTTGCAACGGCACGCGGCTTGCAGTAAAAAAATATTTAGCAACGTCGTAGAAGCAACAATCTTGACAGGACATTTCAAAGGTGAAGATGTCCTCATTCCTCGTATTCCTATGATTCCAACGGATGTGCCTTTTCAATTTAAGAGATTATAATTCCCAATTCGATTGGCGTTTGCAATCACCATCAACAAAGCTCAGGGCCAATCTTTAGAATTGTGCGGTTTAGATCTAGACACGGATTGCTTCTCACATGGACAATTACATGTAGCATGTTCTAGAGTCGGCAAACCAGACAATCTCTATATCTGCACAGACAATGGAACAACAAAAAAATATTGTATACCCACAAGCATTGTGAAATTAAACATATTAGAAACGTGCGCTTTCTCTTTTCTTTCTTTTCCATTTAACCAGACTGAGCCATAGCAACGCGTGGCCGGGTACAGCTAGTAAATATATAACAAATACGAGTATATTTTCACATATAGGAGTGACTACTTGACGGGGATTGGTGTGGCTGTTTCGATTTATTACACTTATACACTCAACTTGTAATTACAAGTAATACAGCTCCACGACTAATCTCCGCACTTAAAGGTCACTGTTTCAAACACTAGTGTATATAATTTATTAAAGTCTCTTCTATCAGTTTCCTGGCAAAGGATTTCAAGACAGGAACTATAACAGTCTCTCTGAATTCAATTCATCGGCTCTAAAGCTCATAATTTGACAGGCTGGCGTCTCGAAACCCAATTGCTTCAAAGGACTTTCCTTGTCCTTTTTGTAACCACTAGGCACGCACTACGCAAATAGTTCCGCTGTTGTCTTGTAGGTTCACTACTAGTACATTGGTGTAGTAGGCTGATCGGTCTCTATGAGCTGGCTTCCTCTACCAGTTTACAAGGTTTCGGGATCATTACGATCTCCGCGACTTTCCAATTTCCTGGGAATTTCCCCTTTTTAATAACTGAGTTGCAGTTGCTAGGCGCCGATCACAGTGGCCATGCGGTCTAAGGCATGAACCGTCTTTTCCCTCTAGAACGCTGGGATAGTGGGTTCGAATCCCACTTTAGGCATGGATGTCTGTGTGCGTTTATTCTGTTTGTGTTGTTCTGTGTGTAGGGAGAGACTTTGTGACTGGCTGATCCCCCCTCCAAGGAGTCCTACCGACTGTGTATAGTTTAAGAAGGGCTCCAGAATCAAAAATAGATAGTCGTTAGGTGGACAGCGCCCTTTCTGGGCATTTGTTTCAATATTCTTCCTATAATTAGGTCATATCCAGGGGATTTTCTTGGGTTGAGATCTTTTGTAATATTTTTTGGAATGTATGACACAAACTCCGTCCTAAATGCAACAACTTATTGTAGTTTTTTTGTCTTCTTTCCTTCTACACTACATGTTTCGGCCGTAAATGGCGATCATCAGATATACTCTCGCGTAGCTGTTACACTGCACGTAGTTTAAAATGTAAAAACACCAGCTTTCTTAATTGTTCATTTCTCCGTTGTTAATAGGTTCCAATATAACAGAATCCTCTTGCTGATATTTGTCAGATATGTATAAAATCTTTCTTAATTTAAATATGTTAATTTGATTTTTGAATTTTGGTATTTAAATTTATTTTTTTCTAATTTTAAAATTTTTAAAATGTAAAATTCACAGAATAATACCTGAACAGTGCTGAAAGCAAGAAGTAGACGCTGCAGCACTGTAGACCTAGAGTAGGTATCCCTGTGAATTTTACATTTTAAAAATTTTAAAATTAAAAAAAATAAATTTAAATACCAAAATTCAAAAATCNCGTTGTTAATAGGTCCCGATATATCAGAATTCCCTTGCTGATATTTGTCAGATATGTATAAAATTTTTCTTAATTTACATATGTCAATTTGATTTTTGAATTTTGGTATTTAAATTATTTTTTTTTATTTTAAAATTTTTTAAAATGTAAAATAACAGAATAATACCTGAACAGTGCTGAAAGCAAGAAGTAGANAAAGTAAGAAGTAGAAGCTGCAGCACTGTAGACCTAGAGTAGGTATCCCTGTGAATTTTACATTTTAAAAATTTTAAAATTAGAAAAAAATAAATTTAAATACCAAAATTCAAAAATCAAATTAACAAAGATTTTATACATATCTGACAAATATCAGCAAGAGGATTCTGATATATGGGGACCTATTAACAACGGAAAAATGAACAATTAAGAAAGCTGGTGTTTTTAAATTTTAAACTGCGTGCAGTGTAACAGCTACGCGAGAGTATACACCTGATGATGGCCATTTATGACCGAAACGTGTAGTGTAGAAGAAAAGAAGACAAAAGAACTACAATAAATTGTTGCACTTAGGACGGAGTTTGTGTCATACATTGTGTAGAGTGTAACAGGATGCTTAAATATAATATTTTTTGGAATAATATTATATTTCAGCATCCTATCGCATTGATGCTTCACTCGTCCACTCCTTTCCTTCTCTAATGCAACGTAGAATTTAATTTTAAAATGCCATTACAATTATATTTAAACTTCTTAAAATATCATTAAACTGACATTTTAATGTGCTGTTGCGACGTGTTTCGGCCCTATAAAGTCATCCTCAGGCAACTGTTAATCTATTCAAACAGCCGCATTTTATCAACTTACATTATCAATATATTTCATACTACTGCTGCATGTCGTAGTTTGAGAATGTATGCCCAGAAACAGAAGAGAAAACTATAAAAATTTACTATGAAAAAATAATAAAACACAAATCTAACTGAAAAACCACAACCACTAAAACAAAACATACACACAGATCCCAAGCACCAAAAGACAAAATGGGCCACTTTTATGTAATGCGGCAAAGAGTAAGGCAAATAACCAAGCTGTTCAAAAGCACCTAAATAAAAATAGCCTTTCGCACACAAAAGACGACAAAAACATTAAAACATCACACACACGGATAAATATAAATAAATTCAGCTAACTGCTTGCCAGGATTGCTGTCACTGCTTCCTTCCAACTGTTTACGAGAAGTCTGCTTTTGGGGTTGGTGCTCTTCTTATTACTGCTTGGGATGTGTGATAGTGTAATTGGTTTGTTTTATGGCACTGAGTGTTTGAGGCATATATGTAGTTTGATGTGGTTCTGTTGAGCGTAGGAAGCTTGTTAATAATATTAATAAGAGACAGACCCATCTTCTCGTAAGAGAGGATGTTACATGACGACTATTACCGCAAGGGTTCTGTAAAAAAATTCTGGTCTGACTCTCAAGGGGCTTCACGTCAAGACAAACTGACTGGCGGTAAACCGCCAGTCATAAAATAACTTTGACGTTGACTTGACTTTGTCTGGTACACACTGGGCATATATTGCTTGTGCCTGCATCATTTGGTTGTGATTCATGTTGTTTTCGCCGAGGAATTTGTCCGTTGGTCACTCTGTTTGTGCCTTGTGTGTGTTAGTCTGAGCGATGGACATTCAGGACAACAGTTGTTGATAATAATCGTTTCATTATGGAAGTGCGTGGTTGTAAGTATTATAATCGCTCTTCGCCCTTACGTAGTTGGCCGCCACTTTTTTATATAACCGGTTCGTGTGTGGCCCCTACGTTTGGCGTCACCTCTTTTTAATCGTCGTTTACCCACCGTTGGTGAGCCACTTCTCTTTCTAACCGCCCCTCACTCGCCTTCTTTACCTCTTTAGCTTTTCACTCGTTGTTCGTCGCTCCTTTCCTTTGTTCTTCTTCTGCTTTGGTTGTGCGCCAGTAAGCTCAACCGATCTCGGCTTACAATAATTATAGATTTAATTAGGAAAGAGAGGTAAAGGAATAGGTAACTAGTTCAGCTGTTGGTAAAGTTGAGATTCTTCCTCAGAGCGTTTGATAAGGGCCTCCCTTAGACAGAGGAGGGATTAGCGCAGTACTACTTTTGCACTTAAACACAGCGATAATTTATTAGCACTTTACTCACTCAGTAACACACACAGTTAATATCGTGGATACTTATATATTAGTCCTTATATAGCTTTAGTCCTGGTACACTTGAAGTTATCAGAATAGTTTACACTTTGGCTTGTTAAATTTTGGCTTTGTTCCGAACAGCGGTGATACAAATTTAGCCTCTAAACAGTTCACAAGTTGGCAGACAACTGAATTCGGTGACTGACTTCCTTGAAGACCCTGAGGTCCTCGGTCGTCAATTCCTCAGAGAAGTCACTCCCCCTTAATCCCACTGATTGGGTAATTTTGAAATCTAGAAGTTCACACAATTTTTGGATCTCCAATCAGCTAGCTGTAATGTGGGATTTTGATCCTTAAAGTCCTAACGTCGTTTCTGACAGCTCACTGACGGATAACCCGCTTGGCGTGGGTCTCGAGCACGCCCCCTTTTAAGTTACGATGTGCAGGACCTGTCAGTGATCGTATTCTCAAAGTTTGCCGCTGTGTTACTCGCAGACAAGATTTATAAGAAAAAGACACGGGAGTGCTTCCTGTGTAACAGTAAGACTGGGAATAAGTCAATTCCTGCAGATAAGAAGGTAACTGTCACACTGCCTGGACTATTACTTGCCATCTGAAATTAATTCTTGTACTAAACATTCTAATTATACTTAAAACTAGTGCGCGACAGTGGAGCGGTTACAGTATGTTGGTAATAAAACTGTGCACAAAAATAATTCTTTACTGTTCACTATTTGTTTTCTGGATGCTGCCAAACTTGCAAAAAGCTGCAGTTGAGTCGAGTCTTATGTTACGGCCGACGGTCAGTCGCTCTGTCAGGCTTGGAATAAAGCACCCATGTGGGGCTTAAGACCAGATTTTTATTAGTCAGACAGTTTCAGGTTTGTTGATATGGGGTGCTCTCTCTGACGAGAGGACAGGTCTATCGTTTACAATAGCTGCTGGCCCTCGCCAGCACAGTCATTCTCGGGTCCGAGCCCTATGGGACTCGTGACCATATTTTACTGTCTCAGATTCGAGATTTCTTTTCGTCTTCTCCTACGACTCGCAGGGCTACGGTGGATGTATTCAACCCCACCTCCACACGGGATTAGTAACATCCATTACTTTTTAAGTTATAGGCCCTTCATGTGACATCATTACTTGTGAATCACATTTTGTGTTTGATCACAATGTGCAATCTTCTTTTGAAGAAGTTGTTATATGTCTACTCCACTGAAGTAAACCAGTTTACCAAATATACATTTTTGTTTCCCTTATATCACTGCCCTTGATGTTAATTTACTGAAGAAAATCCTAAAAATTTTTTGTTGTAAATCGTTTTGCAAATTTCGCACTAGTGAATTAAAAATATTTCTTTAGATGTTTCTAACAGGCAGTGGTGTTTTAAATACTGTCACGTGTCAGAGTCTCTCTCGATCCTCTCGACGCTCGATGGGGTTCCGGACTGGATGTCAGATCGAAGGGCCACCTACGGATCGCTACAACAAGAAACTACAACAGTCCCACTGCACCACACACTCCAAATATCACCGTAACTGCAGCACACGTGAAGTCTTCTCTGTCTTCGGTAGGCGTTTCGTAATAACCGATTTAAACATAGTAATTATAACAGTCTCCCTGAACCACACTCTTCAAATATCACTGTAACTGCAGCACACGTAAAGTCTTCTCTGTCTTCAGTAGACGTTTCGTAGTAACCGATTCCATCACAGTAATTATATCTGTCCCACTGAACCACACCCTCCAAATATGACTGTAACTGCAGCACTTGTAAAGTATTCTCTGTATTCAGTAGACGTTTCCTAGTAACCGATTTTAACACAGTACTTATAACAGTATCACTTAACCACACACTCCAAATGTCACTGTAACTGCAGCACGCATAAATTTTCNCTCTGGCTTCAGTAGACGTTTCCTAGTAACCGCTTTCAACACAGTAATTATAACAGCCTCAGTGAATTACACACTCCAAATATCACTGTAACTGCAGCACACGTAAAGTCTTCTCTGTCTTCAGTAGACGTTTCCTAGTAACCGATTTTAACACAGTACTTATAACAGTATCACTTAACCACACACTCCAAATGTCACTGTAACTGCAGCACGCATAAATTTTCCTCTGTCTTCAGTAGACATTTCCTGGTTTCCGATTTTAACACAAACAGTATCATGGAACCACACACACCGAGTGAACTCGAAAAGCTGCAGTTTTCATTCAAAACGTGTTTTATAATAAACATAACAGTTAGCCAATTGTCTGGTTTGCTGCATATTAACTAGACGTTACCTGGTAACGAATCGTAACAATGAAAGTTCACCAGTTTCTGTGTTCACGTGTTTACTCTTAGTGTTCCAGATAGCGAAGAGGCCGTGACCGACCGTTACTTCGTTAGCAGTTTCCTAGCAAGTGAACACAACTTATTCATGTCTTTGATCTCTTGGCTACGCTCAAAGTAATTCTGCAATGATCGACGACTTACAGTTTTCAAAAAGGAAATTGAGGGCCCTTGCTCAAGCTAAAATTGACAAACTGAAAGGCGAAGAGGAAGAATTCAAAAAAATGTTGGAAAAAATAAAAGAAGTAAACATGAGGATAAAAAGGTATGACGTGTGTAAGATTTTGTGTGTTCACAGAGGTTACAGTGAACTGTGTCGTTCTGTGGGATGTGATCTCGTGTAGTGTGATACAAGTTTCTTGACGTTTTCGAGGAGAGTATTGCGCCCATCTTCAAGGTTGAAGAGTAATTCAGTCAAGCATCATGACTTCTGCATATGTGATTACTTGATCTATCTACTCTTCAACTCTGAAACGTCGATAAACAGTCTATGCTGCATCAAATCCCAGAAAACGCTACTCTTCATGTATTACTTAGGTCAGAGATCATTTTGTAATTATCTAGTTTCACCATTCTCAAGGTCTCTCTTTCTGAGCATCGAGGCCGGTTCTTTTTAATTGGGAGGTCCCGAGTTCGAATATGCTCAGAGGCCAGCTCTCTTGAGTTAGGTGTTTCGTTATATTTCTCAGACTGTCCAAGTATATATCATGATATTACCCAAAAGGAGGTCACATACATTTCGAATCACATTCTATGTGATGAGTAATTCATTAATAATCGTATTATTTGATGGTATATAATTGGAGCATTGTCAGAGAAACCATAAAGAAATCACTTGTGTCTGATTATATTTTCAGTCTGAAAGATACAAATACATTCTAGGTCATGAAATGGAAGTAATGTCCATCCACATTTCCATATTCCAAACTTCTTAACAGATTTCAGTAGAACTGTTTACCGAAAACAGTTTCTTGGGAAGACGGTAGTTGTCAGATGCTATTGAATTTCCCCACTTTCCATGGACCAGGTGGTCCTTTTTTATTTTCATAAGAGCCACCGCTGATCCAAATTAACCTAGTCTATACTCTCTCATCCTATATATCTTATGACATAGTTTAGACTACTTTCCTTAAAAAATGAAAGGAGGCTTATGACATCACCTTCCTGTCAATGTGTTTGTGTGTCTGGGTATCCTCTGTAATTGGGCCACAGAGAAAACACTGCCTCCAACAGTTCCTCTGTTATTAGCCTACTTGCCCTTTGTATCTGTATGTGTATCCCCTCTATCAATGGCAGGCAATGGCTTGGTAAACACGTTTCCATGGCAATGAATACACACAACAATAGAAGAATTTTTCTTTGTGGCGCTTTCTGTGGAGCCTGTCTTGTATCAGAGGAAAGTAGGCGATTAGGTCTTTCCAGAACTTCTTGTAATATCCTCACATGTACCACACTACAGTCGATTTTTAGTGATGTAAGAGAAATCATGAGTTGTATCCCCCCTTATGGATTGTATTTCTTGTCAGGAGAATCGTGAAGCGCGCATTGTTCTTAATGCTAGCAGCCGTATTCTGTTTGTTGGCCACATCACTCTTTATACCTATAGAGAGAGAAAGAGAAATAGTTTGCTGAAAACTGTAAGTATGTAAAAGTATGATATGAAATCCTAGAAATATTCTCTTGCTTTTCATCAAGTATATCTTTTGGAACCAGTGCTATTTGTAAAGCTAAGGAATCCTTAGCTACTCTGAGGAGGAACCATACTTTATTTTTCAGAGATAGTCTTATGACCTTTTAACAATAAATATGAAAATGAACAGCTGAAGCTCTGTTAAACAGAGTGTAGCAGCCTGGGAAGGGTGTAGTCAGGTTTTAAATACTTTAACAGTCCTTCTCTTCATGCCCTAGTTGATGTAGCCTCTGTTGTGTTTGTTGAACACCACATGGTCTTATAACCACGTAGAAGTGCTGAGAATGGTTTGAGGGCAGTAAATGTGAATGATTTTCAGGGTGTGAGCATATGATTATCTTCAGAGCTTAAGGGGCCTTGCTCCAACGAGAGAGGGTTTACGGATGAAGTCCCTGGATCACACTTTACCGATGAAATGATATACTTGATTTATTGTCCAGCACTACATGATTTTACAAGTTAGTTACTTTAAGTCACAGATACAACTGTTCTGGTACACACCTGTATGCAACATCTAATGGTCACAATGAATACACTGGATACATGTACAAACATGAGTTTTTCTACTAGTACTGTTACTATTGCACTATATATGTGTACACATGCTGAATGTTACACTCTGATAATCTGCCTTACTACATATATGCACCAGCTGAAATCAGTCCTTTAAATACTCTTGGATGATGTAATACTTCCATAATCTTCTGCATTGCGAATTTTCTTGAAGCTTCCACACTGTTCTACAGATTTGGAATGTTCTGAAATTTCTTAAATTGGGCTGGTGGGAGAAGTAAGCGATCCACATGATTCATGGGCAATCAAAGACCATTCTAGTAGCTCTTATCTAAACATTCCTTCCCCAAAATTCTTAGTATAGTTAATGCAAAACTGAGCATAAGTCACAATTAGCACAAGATTGATATTAAGTCCTAAATACGTAGGTTGTACCAAAAGTCATGAGCAACTTTTTTTTGCATGCAACCTGGGAACAGCAGATGAAAGAGTACAGTGGTAGGTGGAACCAGCTGTTGTGTTAACCTTGAGTGTCTTGTGATGGCAATAGCTTGCATCACGTGATCAGTATCACTCCTAACAAAATGGCCAACAACGATATGTTGTTTCGCCAGCATGCTGTCATCGAATTTCTTGTGAAAGAGGAAATCCCTGCTGCAGAAATTCACCAGAGACTTCAGCGTGCTTATGGAAGTGTGTGCATGGGTGCGAGCAGTGTTCGGAGATGGGTGAAACATTTTAAAGATGGGAACACCAGCATTGAAGATGAGCCTCGGAACGGTCGTCCTCAAACAGCCTCGACTGAACGCAACAAGGAAAGAGTGGCTGAGATCATTCAAGATGACAGGCGTGTGACTGTGGACACAATAGCATGAAAACTTTGAATAAGGCACAGTGCAGTACAGGAGATGATTGAAAACTTGGGCTATAGGAAAGTTTGTGCTCGTTGGATCCCGCGGTTATTGACCAAAGACCACAAAGGTCAACGAAAAGCCATCATCTCAGAACTGCTGCTGAGATATCGACACGAAGGCAATGATTTTTTGCTCTGTATTGTGACAGGTGATGAAAGCTGGTTTCATTATTTCGAGCCTGAACCGAAACAATAGAGTATGGAATGGCACCATTTGCATTCTCCATCAAAAAAGAAGGCAAAGACAGTGCCATCAGCTGCGAAGGTGGTGGGCACAGTCTTCTGGGATGCAGAGGGGTTTATTCTGGCCGAATTCCTGGAACCTGGGCAAACCATCAATGCTGCTCGTTATGTCCAGACACTGCACAAGCTCCGTTGTGCATTGCGCGATAAACGTCCGGGACGAAACATCATCATCCTGCATGACAACGCTCGCCCCCACGCCGCTCGCCTCACATTGGAAGCAATTGCAAAGATGGGGTAGGAAGTTCTTCCACACCCCTCCTATAGCCCTGATCTGGCACCCTCCGACTACCATCTTTTCGGATTTGTGAAGGATCAGCTGCGTGGACAACGTTTTGAGACAAGGGAGGCAATTCAGAAAGCAGTGCGTCAGTGTCTTCGGATGGCTGGAAACGAATTTTACAGAAGGGGAATTTTCAAACTCCCAGAACGCTGGGAGAAATGTGTACAAAGAAGTGGCGATTATGTGGAAAAATAAAGAAAGGTCTGTAGATTGAGGTGGTGTATTTGGTTTGTCAATAATAAAGCATGTTACTTTACAAAAAATTGTTGCTCATGACTTTCACTACGACCCTCATATTATGTGATTTAGTTTAAGAAAATCTAAATTTTTGTGCAAGATTTCATTTCATTTTGTTGCTGTATATAATTATGAGTGATCATGTTTGTGTCCATTACTGAATATCATTATTCCATTTTATTGTTTTGACTAATAAATAAATGTGTTAAAAATTAGTAATTTTCTGCCATAATGTTATGATGAGCCTTTCTTCTGAGCCAGTATCGTCTCCTCTATGGTTTCCTTCCTTTCTTGGATGAACATTAACCAGACTGATAAATTCATCAAAAGATTTTACTGCCATATGGTAAAAATTAAAAAATTTATCAAGATGTTCATGTAATTTTCCATACAATGACTGAAACGGGCTCTTATGTAATGTTTTACAATTTAAAGAATCCAATATCATAACTACATGCATCTCGTTTTTCATTCTGTCAAAACTTATTGTATGTGTATAAAAAGTATGTACGAAATTCTTTCAGATGTGACTAGTTTATTGTGAATATACAAATGATCTTACATGTACTGGCCTGTCTCAGTCAACATCAGTGGTTTCAATAACATTAATTTGAAACACTTCTCATATTCGCAATACAATATAATCGGCTCAGAGCATACAGCATCGTATGATAGATTCATTATTCAAACCGAGCAAACTGGTTTAGAAATAGAGCACCAGACTTGTATTCAGGAGGTCGTTCGTTCTAGTATTCAGGAGGTCGTTTGTTCTAACACCGGCCAGGAAACCGACCTTCGTGACTGAGGATATTCGTGGTTTTCTCAGTCCCTCCAGGCAAATACAGTGATCATAATTGTGCTAGCATTGCTTCCTTCCGTATCATTCGTAATTATTTATTCACCACTCGACTTCATATAATCTGAGACCTCCCGATAGAATTGAGAAATGTTACCGCTTGAGCCAATTTGCTCGGTAACAAAATTATAACGTATAAGATGCACCTGCATTTAGAATGTCGGAAAGGGATTCAGTCCTGCTCCATATAANGGACTGAATGGTAGCAAGCATTACCTGAGTTCAATCTCCTCTTAATATCCTCCTGAATCAGGTTTCAATCTGTTATCACTGTTCCCAAATATCTGAATTGTGCCTCATTTTCAAAAAATCTGTTTCCTATCTTTATATCATGATTTTGCCTTGAATTTTGGTGATGAGACAGCAACATATAGTTAGTTTTCTCAGTGTTTACTTCTAGACCAACCTCTTTACTTGCGTCAATTAAAGTTTGTGTGTTTTTCTTTATGGTATCTTCATTATCACCCAATAGATTCACATCATCAGCATAGACCAACAGCTGATGTGTCCCATTTTATTTCAGTCCCACCTGGTTTCCTTGGACCTTCCTAATGGCATATTCTAAAGCAAAGTTGAAAAGAAGTGGAGATAAAGCATCTCCTTGTTTTAGACCATTCTGGATAGGAAATTTATCAGACAAATGTTTACCTACACAGTAAGTCGACTCCCCTACATTTCGTAATTATTTGTAGAACCATTTTCGCCTTAAAGAATAATAGTCCTACAACGCACTGTAGATTTTTGTAGTACAATAGTAATGTAGGGATGACTTAAACTGCATACCTGTTTTGTTTATGTATTGTAACCTATCATTACCTACTGGCCTAATTCCTAAATATTAATGCTCGTATATGTTCTGCTTTCTTTGAAAATGGTGCACCTGATGTTGAAGATTGCAGTATTTTCAGGCTTCTTTTGAAATTGTCCCGTTTTTCATTTCTTTGTGGGTCTCTGCCTGAAAAATTATGAACAGTAGCATAACAAGAAATTTATTTTCAGGTATTTGGCATCAGGAAAGAGTTTTTCAGCTCTACATTACCAATTCTTGTTTGCAGAAACCACAGTAAGGAATATTGTTAAAGAAACCTGTGCCATATTATTGGAAGTCTCATCTGTCAACTTAGCTGGGACATCTCTCCCATCTGGACTCTCATCACAGAAGTCAGAAAACTAGACCTCCGTCCAGTGTAGCTTATGTGTGAAAATTGTGTTTTTATATTTGTACCATACAGAGAAGTTGTCTCTTCAGTGATGACTTCTATTCTGTTAGTACTCTAATTTTAACAATAACCATGAAATGTACTTGCATTGCTTCCTAGTCTGCTAGCTGTAAAACACTTGTAAAAGAAGCAAAAATAAAAGCAAATGTATCCCTGTAACAGGCCGTGGAGGCCCATAGGGTAGTGAGATGTTGAGGTTCCCACATTTTCTAGACAATCGGTTCATAGATGGCAGCAAGGTTGTCAGGCCTATGCACCAGCCACCCTTTACCCCCAAGAATATTCCTAGTGTTCATTTCTGTTAAGAGACTGAGTCGGCCCCAGGGCCATAGTGTGGCAGGAAGGATTAGGTCAATCGAAAAAAATCCAATGACCTCATCAGGACTTGAACCCACGACCTGGTTTCTAAAATATATAGGACTGTACTCCAAAGCCCAAAACCCACACTTATAATTACATTTATGCTTAAGTCATGATTTGTTTTGTCAAACATTCCTATTCAGGTTAAAGTTTCACAGAAATAACTGACATTTTACATGATGACCAACAGTTGTTTCTTCAGGCATCTCAAACTTCATTGGTAACTAATCCACTAAATATTTAACAGAACAGCTGGGGCCAGATTTACAATTGTGAGGGCCCTGGAGAAATCAAATAAGAAGGTCCATATCACCAGCAACAAATTTAGGTTATGATTTTTTCTTCTTCTTTCCTATAGTAACTGAAAATACAAGCTAAGTTTTCATAAATTTATAGAAACAAATTTCTCAATAAAATGTGTAGATTCTGTGTTTGTGCTGTGTAGGCCCCAAGGCAACTAGCCCAGTCACTTCCCCATAAATCTGGCCTTGAGAGGAGGGAAAAATGTCAAGAGAAATACTGCAGAAAAATATTAAAAACACAATTTGTGTCCAAAATTTCATGCTTGTTGTGACAAATAAAAGAGAATGAATGTGACAGAATTATTATGGTATGCATGACTTTCCTAATGGTTTTTGGTTTTATGTGTGTGTGTGCGTTATGTAGATACAGTCTTTCTTTGTAAATCTTTTTTTGAATTTGCTATGTTCATATGTATGAAGGTAGATAAATAAAATGTCTTATATTTTGTTTTCTGATCAAACATTCCACATGCCAAAGACTGTAAATGACAAAATAAACTGAGAATTCCTTAATGAATTGAGCTGTATTACTGCCATGCTGCATATGTTTGTGTGCATGTGGCTGCCCAGATTTGGTATAAATGATATGCCACTGGTGGACACCATAACATTAACCTTCTTAGTTTCCTACGATAAATAATAACCACATGGCAGACTCGCAAGCTTGTGAGGTGAGGACAACATTAACAGCATTAAATCCTGAAGATGTATGTGGTAATAAATTTTGAAAATGTACACAGAGTTTATGTAATGACTTTTCAGAGTTTGAAACAGTTACATCATGGCCATTTGTAGATTTTAGTCTTCAGATGTTTAAATGAACCAGTATTATGTAAGATTTGAGGCTTTCACGGCGGTGACTATGAAGAAAGCAGTCTTCTGGAATTTGGCACCGTGTATATGTGGTGTTAACCGATGTTTCCTCCGAAACGTCAGTTAAC